CTATGAGTCGGAATTGACTCCACAGTAATGGGTTGGGTTTGGTTTTTTGATATATCTAACAAAAACCCTTGCTGGTAAAATTACAAACTGTATTGGAAGACGAAAGTAGACTTCAATAAAGGGGAAGATTTACACTGTTTCCATGAATGGGAACACTCAATATAATGAAAAATGAATCAAATCTCCAAAGAGTTTTCTTTTTGAGGTTGAGTTTCTTTATTAAACATCAGTGCTCACTAAAATGTTGTTTGAAGTAATACTTTTGTTGTTATTAGGTGCGATTGAGTCGACTCCGACTCATAAGTCACCCCATGTGACAGAGTAGAACTGCCCTATAAGGTTTTCTTGACTGTAATCTTTAAGGAAGCAGATCACCAGGTCTTTTTCCCACAGAGCCAGGTTTGAACCCGGTTAGCAGCGGATTGCTTAACCCTTTGCGCCAACACTCTAGCTACGTGGAAGTAGAAAGTGGCCACAGACAGTGGAAGCGTCACACTTTGGATTCGAAAGTCCTTGAGCCCCCACGACTCTCCCTGGAGTCTGGAACAGCTAAAAGCCCAACATTAACCTGATTTCTCATTTCTTACTCTCACTCTTTCCTTAATGATAACTGCCCCTGTGGAGCACAGAAAAGCCAGAAGGTGAATCTCCCCTAAGACCCATGAGAAAGAAAACACTTCCCACAGACGCAGTCTTAGCAGACCGGGATGCACAGAGAACTACCCTCCTTTGTATTTATGGTGGTCGCGTCCCATCTCACAGTTTTTTTTTATCTTTTTAAACTTTCATGTAAGTATATCCTACAGACAAAAGACGTATATTCTGTATACATAATTTAGGAGAGGAAAAAAGTAATAAAATGAAACTCTGATCCCACTCGCCCAATTTAAGAAAGATATTGCCGGCATGGGCCCTCCCCAGCCACACCCCTCACTCCCCGCAGAGGGTTAACAAATACCCCGAATTCTATGTTAACAATTTATTGTTATTCTCTCCCTACCCCCGCCCCAAGTATTAGAAAACTGCTTTATTGAAAAGAAATCATACTTAAAGTCCCAATGTACGAACAAGATAAAATCAGAATCTCAGGTTGACCAGGACTGGGGTTTAATTTCCAGCCAGCCAGCCAAGCCTGCTACTCGCCTCCTAGTGGTGGCGCAGAAACATCGTAGAAATAGTAAGGTATTTCCGGAGTCTAAGGGGCGATTTAAAAAAAACCAACCTGGTGCTATAGAGTCGGTCCCGACTCACAGCGACCCTGCAGGACAGAGGAGAACTGCCCCCTAGGGTTCCCAAAGCATGCTGATGGATTGGAACTGCCCACCTTTTGGTTAACAGAAGAACTCTTAACGACTGCGCCACTCAGGCTGATTTGCATACCCATAATACACTGCTCATAGTACAATTTTATTTTTTCAAGTTAAAAAAGTATTTCTTCTACTGCA